CGTGTCTCCTTCCTATAATCTGGGGTAATTTAAGAGAGGCGTGAAGAAGCATTTTTGCAAGCCGGCAAGGTGAGGATGGTTGGTGTAGCAGTTTATAACTGCTTTACCGGCTATCTTCGCGTTTGGGCTTTATAACCACTTAACATCAGGTGGGGTAGTCAGTTCCCTACCCCGCTATAAAAAACGGCACTGTGCGATATTCGTAATGTGCGTGTATCCAATGTAAATGCAAGTTCATTTCTTATTCAAACCGAGCTCTCGGGAACTTGAACATCCTCCAAGAACGCCGCAAATTCGGAATACCTATCCTGCATGCATATTTGTGGAATGGCGTACCCACGATACGCCGTATCTCGCATACGCCATAACTCTGGCGCGTCATACGCGTGGTGTTTTAACGGTCGGGCCCGGAGCGCGCGGTCAGCGCTCGTGCCACGGAATAAATTACCGAACCGATGTAACAGACCCTTGGTGCATGCTACTAGAGATGGGCGTTTTTAGATATTTATGAAATCGATGAGCATCGGTATCAGATAAATCGCATCGGATGCCCGCATCGATGCCGGCATCACATCGATGTCAACTGAATGTCGATATCTTGTATCACAGGATACGATGCAATATGAATTTTTACAGATGCGTGTTTTGTATGGATGTGTCTCTTCGATTCCTTGAATCAGGACTTGAAAATGTAATCAAAAACCATTTATTACTTTTCGGTATGTTATCTGAAAAGATTGAATGCTGGCAAAATTATTACATAAAAAATTTCACTCAGAGCGTAGGTTTTGAACGCAGGCAGGATGCCAGGTTTGGATGCGCGCATCCGATACGTTTGGATGCCGTTAATTGATGCCGATACCATCTAGTTTTTGTCATCGTTACTATAGCAACAGTGCCACAAACTTTTCTGTGCCGGTGGCAAAAATTTGAACTACAATTTATCCATAGCATTTTGACTTTTTTATGACATATTTGTTCACCGCTAGCGACATCTTTACCGGCACAGATGAGTTTGTATCACTGTTACTATGGTAACGTTGACAAAAACTAGATGGCATCGGCATCCAATAACGGCATACAGTTGCATCGGATGCGCGCATCCGAACTTGGCATCGTTATCGCGCATCGTTATTTTAAAAACGCCCACCCCTACATGCAACGTGCCCGTGCGAATACGCCTTTATGTTTAACTAGGGCTGCCATATCAGAATCTTTTATACTGTTAACACTTTCTGAGATATTTTTATTGATATTTTAAATAGACACTAATATAGCTTTCCTTATATGAACGTGGACGCTTTTTTTTAACACTAGGTAGTTCTCTCTCGCAATGGGCGTTGGACGTAAAGTTTAAAAATTTAGGTTTTGATAGTATTAGATTTTATTGATTTGGAAAGAACCACTTTCGTTCTGTCACTCCCTATATCATTGACAACGTCTCGCTATAGTTAGCTTTTCTCCATTTCAAATTTAATCCCTGGAAGCTGTAAAAACATTAAACATCTAAGTTAATGTAATAGAAATATACGGCCGTGTACCTACAAATTTATACCGAACCCTCGGTGGTCAGTAGAGATTGCAACCCGGTATGTTTTTTAACCCGCCGGGCCCAGTAACATTCGCCGCCATGATGTGTTAGTATGAAACCTATAAAGTATTTTATGAAAATTTGCTTTAATTAAATGGAGGAAAAATACATCATTCATGATTGCGGAATAATATTTATTGCAAACCAGCAAATCAACAATAAATCAGTCTTAATCAATCTCAAAATCACGAGTTTTTAATACATGTTTAAGTTTAAGCAAGCATTATTAGATTCCCCAGTTTAAAGTCGCTCAGAGAGCTATGGAAAGGGCTAAGCTCGGAGTATCCCTGAAGGACCGCATCAGAAATGATGTAATTCGACAGAGAACCAAAGTCACCGACATAGCCCACCGAATTAGCAAACTGAAGTGGCAGTGGGCTGTCAGCCGCAGAACTGATGGCCGCTGGAGCCGGAAAGTTCTTGAGTGGAGACCACGACTCGGTAAACGTAGTGTTGGACGCCCTGAGACAAGATGGGATGATGATATTCGTAGGCTGGCTGGCGTGGGCTGGATGAGAGTAGCATGAGAGTAGCACAAAATCGGGAGCAGTGGCGTGCATTAGGGGAGACCTATGTCCAGCAGTGGACGAACATGGGTTGATGATGATGATGATGATGAAGCATTAGTATTCAGTAATTGAGTTTAGGATAGAAATGATCTTCCACGCGCTGGATTTAGAGGATTTCGAGAAAAAGTTTGGAAAGTAGTCAGATTATTTAAGAAGTCGCTCGCAATTTAATTACTAATACTATACAGAGTTAAGAGAAAGAGCTGCTTCCTTAAAGTTAATAATTCATACTAATGTAACTATTTGAAAACATAGTATTAGAATAAGAAACTAATAACGCAGCCTAATGTACTAAACTTGTTTTATCAACTTAGTTAGATAAACTTTGGTACCCTAAGTTTAGAATGGGAAAACTTATAGCTATTCATACAAAAATTTGGTTTAAAGAATTTAACAACTATCAGCCTGTAACGACTTTTCCCTTATAAATATATGAAGAAAATTTTAGATTGGAAATTAAATTTTACAAAATTGAGAAAAATTTAATGAATAACAATTTCCATTGTTGGTTGGTTCCAATTTTCGCCACATTCATAAAGATCCTTGTAGCACTATAATAAGCTGTCTATGGTCAGCATTGTCTGCTTCTTTGTTCAGTTTTTCTTTCAAAACGTTTGAAATTTTCTATAGATCCAAATAGATAAAATTAATAAAGTACTTTTTAAGGTATATCGAGCCCAAGGGAAAGAGGGGTTGCATATACATGTATTTAAGTTCAGTCGGGGTAAGAAAACCTTCGTCAGTTATCTTTTTCATTTCTTTGTCAAGTGGTAAACTCTTTGTACCTTTGGAAAATAAAGCTTTATGCAGACAACCGCACAATTATACTAACATAGTATGATAACACGGGTCAAATTAGTGCACACCTTTGACGTATGTCTAGTTTCATATCAACATCAAACCTTTATTAATGGCATATTTAGTTATTACAAACTTTTACTTAGTAACGATATCTTCTGTACCCCTAGCACGAACCAATATCGAATTCGTATCGTTTGCGAGTCCGAAACGTCATTGTCAAATGTGTACTGATTTTTAGTTCTCGTTGCGTACTTTGTGCCGCTGCTGTTCAAGTTTCCATACAAAATTTGACATTGACATTTCGGGTTGCAAACTATTCGAATTCGATAATGGTTCGTCCTAGGGATACCAATTTTCCATATAAATTCTGGCTTCTACACTCATAATAGTCCATTCCAAATATTTGAAAGCGAACGCAAACAAAAACTTTACCTCCTGATAAACTGCTGAAGATTTTTATCAAATCTAAAGAATCTAGTCATTTAATTGCTGAATTTATTTTATTAAAGCTCTAATTTGTGTTATGAAAATTATACCAAAACGTGACGTCATGCGAATTTTCAAATCAATGTATCTCTGCAATGTTTATATTATGTGAAAAAAAGAAAAAATACGTCTCCAATACTTTTTGATAATCTACCTGATAAACGAAGACAAAAAAAAATAGTCATCATCCTTATTTGGTACAGATTTTACAAATCGTAACATTTCACGCATTCGCGAATATTCGCATATTTTTGAATATTCACATTCGCATTCGCAAAATCTCTGCGAATGTTTTGCGAATATGAATATTAGAAAAAAACAATTTAAAGAAGTTTTGCCTTTCCTTGAATATTCATTGTTACACAGTTTGCATTTAGCTCGTTCAGCATCGCAAAGTGTGAAATAAGTCCATGTTTCACTAGAATTGGATTTACTCATGTTAATAAATCACTATTACCACTCACAATCACTAACCTCAAAATTCACTTGTTTTGTTTACGGAAAGACCGGTGCGAGCGGAATGACACTTCAGTCGGATGAGTTCATATCAACTCGGCAATTCGAACGAGACTGCCACCATGCCATAGACAATTGGCGCCAATTCAAAAAATGGGTGCGTGTACTTATGTAGGCGCGTGAGAAGTTATCCTTCTTTGGCATCGTTTAAAATTAGTTTTTAATTGCATGCAAATAATTAATTACAATAAATTAATAAAAAGTCTGGAAAAGGACACAGTCAATAAAGTTCAGTTTTAATTTGAAAAAATAAATAACTAATCAAAATATTCAATTAAAATCGCTACTGAATATAATTTATTAGAACATATGTGATTTGCACTTGTATGAAACTCAAACACGTAATCCGAATATACAAACTAGAAACATGTGGATAAATATTATAAATATGAATACCTATAACTGTTACTTTATTACAAAAAATAAAGATGTGGTTTTTGGTTCTACTACACCAATGGTCAAGAGATGGCGCTGTAGTCTCCTGAATCGCGCTTTGGTTCCGTTGTTCCAGATTAATAAATACTTTTGATATTATAAATATGAATACCTATAACTGTTACTTTATTACAAAAAATAAAGATGTGGTTTTTGGTTCTACTACACCAATGGTCAAGAGATGGCGCTGTAGTCTCCTGAATCGCGCTTAGGTTCGGTTGTTCCAGATTTAATAAATACTTTTGATAGACCTTCACAATGCAGTCGTTAGCACCCACTAAATAGAGATTCTATTTCTATTTTGTTGGTAGATTTTCTTAATGTGCGGTAAACACAAAAGTAACAGGCGACCAATTTTTGTGTTACAGTGATGCGCGCGCATCTCAAAATTTCACTCTCATCATTTTTTTCATAACGCGCCTAAAGAAGTATAACTTCAAAAAAAAACTAAATATTCGCATTCGCGAATGTCGGTACCGGACATTCGCATCCGCATTCGCATTCGCGAATGTTCAAAAAATGACATTCGTTACATCACTAGTATATAAAGTGAAATTGGATTAGATTATAACATAATAACGTATGTTTGTTGTTGGTTCAAGATGGGATTGCGGGCGTCGGAGGCGGACCGGCGGCGCATGATGGATCGCATCAGCAAACTGGAGGACGAACTGAGACTCCTGCGGGTGGCCAACGGGTTGGTGATGTTTAACATAATCGTTTATTTTCTTATATAATAATAATCTACTATATAAAAATAAGTCGGGTTTTCCTTCCTGACGCTATAACTCCAGAACGCACGAACCGATTTCCACGGTTTTGCATTCGTTGGAAAGGTCTCGGGCTCCGTGAGGTTTATAGCAAAGAAAATTCAGGAAAAATTAAAAAAAAAACTTCTTTTAGTCCCCAAACGAAATGTTACATGAAACGAAGCCATCTGGTGGCGAAACGGAGTTCGCGGGGTTTGCTAGTAATACATAAATATTTCCACACTCACACCAATGAGCCTAGCCCCAAAGTAAGCACTGTAAGGCTTGTGTTATCGGATACTTTTTTTTTTGGGGGGTTCCGGTGGTTATTCTCCGGAGAGTTACCAAAGAACATTTATTTGAATCAATTATTTAGATGGTTTAGCATTTTAGCATACGGATGTTTGTTTTTCGCTATTTGATACGAAAAACATAGGAGACTTTTATAAGTCACATTTTATTATGTAATTTACATTGGGGTAAGTTAGTATTGAATTGTTTTTTTTTTTTTGTAATAGGTTATTTGATAATTTTGGGTTAGAGATATGTAAATTTAAATAGAGTGTAGTTTTAGGAATGGAGTTTATAGTGTGAGTTATTAGCTGTAGGATAACTGATAAAATACATATATTGTACATATATAAGTATATTTATATAGAAATACAATTATACATCCGTGACTGGAGTACAAATGCTCGTATACATGTCACAAACATAAGCCCCACCGGTATTCGAACCATAATGGTCAGTGCGTTCGCCCGGATAGCGAAGGGTGCGGGTTCGAGTCCCTGCCTGGTCCGCGTGGATTTTTTTCTAGTAATATTTTCTTTAGTATAGATTGTCGTTGATATTGTCTACTTGGGAAAGTTTACAGACTGTCATGTCTTTTTCTTTCGCATCTAGTCCATCATTACTAATAGGAGAGACGTTTTTTTAATTTTGAATTAATAATTATATTTATGAGGAGCTCGATGGCTCAAGTGGTAAGCGCGTTTGGCTGCGATCGTTGAAGTTAAGCAACTTTCGCAGTGGTCGGTTATTGGATGGGTGACCAAAAATTTACTATGTCGAGCTTCTCCGTGCTTCGGAAGGCACGTTAAGCCGTTGGTCCCGGCTGCATCTGCAGTCGTTAACGTCCACCAATTCGCACTGGGCCCGCGTGGTGGGTCATGGCCCAATCTCCCTATTCCATCCATAGGGAAGGCCTGTGCCCCAGCAGTGGGGACATTAATAGGCTGATGATGATAATGATCAATTATATTTATATTCGTAATACAGTTTAGAGAACAACGACAGTAAGACAACGAACGGTGGCAGCGCAGAAGACTCGGACACGGAACTGGTGCGCTTGCGCAGGGAGCTGGCGGAGTCGCGACGCGCCAAACTTACCGCGGAGGAACACGCTCACAAGTAAGTGGTGAGTGGTGATGGGCATCGTCTATAGGTATACTGTACTGAGCAGCTTGATGGCGCTGGTGATCGTGCAAGTTAAGCAACTTTCGCAATGGTCAGTCATCGGATGGGTGACCAAAACTTTTTATATTGTGACGGCGACATCTGCAAGCAAGACTTGGAGTGACAACAGCGAATGGGCGCTACTGACGCTCCATTCAAAAAATGGAAACCTACATCGCGCTAGAGAAATTCGGAGGTTAACACTTCATATACGGGGCGGTGGTGAGGAGCTCGATGGCGCAGGTGGTTAGCGCGTTGGGCTGCGGTCGTTGAATTTAAGCAACTTTCGCAGTGGTCGGTCATTGGATGGGTGACCAAAAATCTTTTATCTCGAGCTCCTCCGTGCTTCGGAAGGCACGTTAAGCCGTTGGTCCCGGCTGCATCTGCAGTAGTTAGCACCCACCAATCCGCACTGGGCCCGCGTGGTGGGTCATGGCCCAATCTCCCTATTCCATCCATAGGGAAGGACTGTGCCCCACCAGTGGGGACATTAATAGGCTGATGATGATGATACGGGGCGGTTCAATTAGTGACGTCAACATTTTTTTTTTAGATTCCTCGCACCTGCGTATTTAATCTTGTTTCAATGATTTTTAGTGTCTCCGCCTTCGAAGGCCAATAACAACAAAAATAGGCTAATTAAGTACTATTATTTTTATGATTTTTGGTAGTTCAGAAGCATGCAGAGTTTTTAAACTTAACCAGAAGCTATGGAAACTCCTTTTTGTACTTTTAAATTGAAGTTGAATGTTTGAGTAAATCCTAATAAAAACTAAAGTTCCAACTTTCAAGCTTTTTTTGAGTAACTTTAAATGCTTTCAGAGAGCTGAGTTTTTTTTATTAAAACAACATTCAAGACAATTATGTCACAAAAAAAAAGACTGGAAAATACCTACTACGAAAATAGATAGGATTTTTTGATACCTCGCTGGCAGAAATCATTGCAAATACACAAATACATAACACAGGTTAGGCGAACCAATGGCACGCGTGCCATTGATGGCACGCGACACAATATTTTGGGCACGTCGCCAATCATAAAACATGTGTAAAAAATGTTTTAAGTAGGTATTTTATGACGATCGAACGCGAGTGATCCTACGCTACGAAGTAACTGTTTGAAGAAGTTAGCACATGCTATTTTAACAATGTTTTCATCTACCTATGCCTGCGAGTCATTGTTTTCAGAGATGAATAACATTAAAAACTCGTTTAGAAACCGTTTGACAGATGAATCCAGTTCAGCATGCATTTCGCTAAAAGTAGCATCTTACAACCCTAACATAAATTATTTGTTATCAAACCTGCAGCAACAGAAGTCACACTAATTTTACAGTAATTTAATTTATGCGTGTAATTAAAACATTCCAGAATGTGCCTCTTTGGTTTACTTTATTTCATAAAGAGTTCTGATAGTATTTATATTATTATCTTCTAAATAATCATAAAGTCAAAATTATTTGATGGCATGCCAATGACCCAATTAAAGATTTTTTAGAAAAAATGGCACGTTGATTCACGTTGAGTTGTTAACTGAATGATATCTTTAAGTCCGGCATCATCTTCATCATCAGCCTATTAATGTCCCCACTGCTGGGGCACAGGCCTTCCCTATGGATGGAATAGGGAAATTGGGCCATGACCCACCACGCACACCCAGTGCGGATTTGCGGGTGCTAACGACTGCAGATGCAGCCGGGCCAACAGCTTAACGTGCCTTCCGAAGCACGGAGGAACTCGAGATAGAAGATTTTTGGTCACCCATCCAATGACCGACCACAGCGAAAGTTGCTTAACTTCAACAATCGCAGCCGAACGCGCTTACCACCTGCGCCATCGAGCTCCCCTCCAACGTGTATCAACTTATATTAAACATCCATGACTGGAGTACAAATGCTCGTATTCATCACACAAACATCTGCCCCCACCGGGATTCGAACCCGGGACCTCTCGTGTTAGTCGAACTTAAGTGTCGCCGCACACGGGCCACCGACCACAACCACAAAACGCCGCTACCGGCAAATTTCTTGTAGTTTTCGCCGGTGGCCGCCATACGCTACAAATCGTCGTTGCTCGCTTCTTGTGGCCCGCACCGGCCACTTAATGCGCCGATACAAAACGCCGCCACACGTCACTCGCGCGATTCCCCACCCCTCTCTCCCTTACCTTAGTCGGCCGCTGTCGCGCGCTTCAGCCACTTTAGTAGCCGCTTCGAGCTTCTCGTGGCGGCGTTTGTGACTGTGGCGTGTGGCCCGTGTGCGGCGACACTAAAGAGTCAATTGACTTCTTTCTGTGTGGTCGTAAGCTATGTTGTTAACTGAATGCCGTCTTACAGGTTAGAGCGACTAGTCACGCAGCTACGTTCCAAATTTAACGGTTTGCAAATCACGAACGGACCCGATTCTTTACCGAGCGAGCCCGAACAAGAGTCCCGTCCCCGCAGAACCAGCGCCAACTCGAACAACTCCACCGTTGTCTTTGGTCCCGTCACAGACTTGTAGCGAACGGACTACCGCTACTTCGCCTTGTCTCTGGCCGCCGATGTGCTCTGGACTGCGGTGTGCAAAGTGATTTGAGAATTGCGATTCGAATTTCGAACGAATGAATACTCCGTACGAATACGAAAAATAAACTGCTAAATTGTTCGGGCAACATTTTCTTGTGTTTTCCGAAAAGGGGTTGCCAAGCGAAAAATAAAGATATTTTACGTAAATTCAATACTCATTTTGTACCATTGTGATTTTCTGCAACAAAATTGATTTAATAATAAAATTTATATTTGAGGAAGCAATTAATATTATCCTACCTATTACAACACGAGCTGACGTTTTCAATTGTCAATAAAAAAATAACACTTTGTACTATAAAACGACTGAAATATAAGAAATTGTAATTTCGTAAATTGTTAAATATTTATTTAAAATTGTGGTAGAATCGTCATTATTAATAAGTTTCTGGTAATCCAATTAATTATTAATGTAACGGATATTATTATTATTACCTAAAATAATATGTAATAAACTAAGTACCATTGGAATTTATTACGTAAAAATTCTCACTGCTCATGTTAAAATTATGTGCACAACATGAATGAACATTAATTTTTAACGAATTTATTTATAATGCAGTCAATAAATCGTTATTAAAGGAAATGAATCATTACTAAATCTAAAGCGGGTAATTTATGATCAGACATTGATAAATAATAAGTCAAATATTTAATTACAAAATTGTTCTATGTCAATCAGCTGTACAGTCATCATCAAACTAATTTGACCATTTTAGTTTGTCAAAATATCTTATGTCAATAACTATTTTGTAAGATCAAAATGATTTTGGTGTGAAGACTGTTGTTATTTTTATGACTCAATTGTTAATTAAATTAGAATTATCTTGTGTTTATACTAACCCACGTCACAATATTTATTTGAAAAAAAAAACATAATTTATTTTCAGGTGCTAAAGTTTTACTAATTTCAAGTTATTATTTATAAGTATACCAATGTAAAGATAAGTATCTAAAAATTGGTATATATTTCGATCCCAATGCAATGGAGGTACCTACAAGAGAATAATTACACCCACATAATTTGCTTGCATCTACCACAAGTTTCAAAGTAAAACTTTCAAGTCTATTATGTATGTAATGATAAAGGTTAAAAATACTACTGTTCTTTTAAATATCAGTTTTTAATGCTATTTATATGCGACTAAAACATACTGGGTGTATTCCGTATGGCCAGTGCTAATGACGTCATGGATCGACGCTATACTGGTAAATTGTTCCGAAATATATTGGCCAGTGCACTGACGTCATAAATCGACGAAATATTAAAAATAGTGCGAATAAAAAAGATTTTTTATTCACCTCATCAATTAAAAGGAATTATTTTTGTTCGGATGCCATTATTATTCTTTAAATAAAAAAGAAATAAAATTCGAATGCATCTCATGGGCGCTCGGTCATACGTCATATTGGTTTTACCGGTAAAAATATGGTAGCATACCAGTACAATATGGCGTCGGATTCGTGACGTCATTACCAGTATACTGATGTACATTTCGGAATACACCCACTATGTTGTTTATTTCTCACTTTTCTTGATTTCTATGCACAAGTCACATTTGCACTCGAGTGTACTTAAAACCAACACGATTAAAGTAGCAATATTTACGTCCGTTATTTGCAATCAATTTGCTTTTTACACCTGTAAGAATTGTGTTTTATCCATATGTATTTGTGTCATTTTTGGTAGTTTTCTAAAAGCATTTGCCTTGTGTGATGCCCGTATCAGCGTGATATCGAAAGAGTATTCCCTTTTTTTTGTTTCGTTTTTGCGTTTTTTTTAACTCTTACCAATAATATTTTTATTTTATGTATTTGATTTGGTTGTATCTAACATAATATTAAGTGCAGAATATGGATATGTATGAATACTTGATTTCTTTAGACTGAATGTGTGAGATTTATCTATGAATTATTATTATTACTATAACAAAATCAATAAATTTTATTATATCTTTCACTGGCCTCGCTCGGAAATTTAATTGCCACTGTCAAATTATGACCTCATTTTCAATATCATCAACATGAGCCTATTAATGTCCCCACTGCTGGGGTACAGGCCTTCCCAATAGATGGAATAGGGAGATTGGGCCAAGCCCTAACGACTGCAGATGCAGCCGGGACCAACGGTTTTGCGTGCCATCCGAAGCACGGAGGAGCGAGAAATAAAAAAAATTTGGTCACCCATCCAATGACCGACCACTGCGTAAGTTGCTTAGCTTCAACGATCGCAGCCGAATGCGCTAATCACCTGCGCCATCGAACTCCTCGATCAATTAATGTCGCCTACAAATCCGCACTGGGCCCGCGTGCAGGGTCACGGTCCAGTCTCCCTGCTCCATCCATATTGAAGTCCTGTACCGCAGCAGTGGGGACATTAATAGGCTGATGATGATGAGGTGGTGAATTAAATATTAACATACTATTTTCGTGATTTGACTTGTTAAGGCATCATAGAAGCGCTATTCATTGCCATTTTCATCATACTATTGAAATAGATAAGTAAATAATATGAGTTAAAATGGTAACATTTTTATTTAGTAACTTCATACTTTTCACGTTTGAATTGCTTACTAGTGCAATTCAAATAGAGGAACCTAGCTGATTTTAAACTTTCATTGTCACTAACATTATAGTAATACCAGGACCTATCTGATTTTATAATTTAAGTTTTTAATAATATAATCTAAAATATTATTTATTTGATATCGTGATCTTAAAATATGTCTTTCAAACTTATCAACCAAATAAATTGGATCGTATAATGCAAAATGGAACCAATCAAACTATTAATCCAATTAATTATTAATGTAACGGATATTATTATTATTACCTAAAATAATATGTTATAAACTAAGTACCATTTAAATTTATTACGTAAAAATTCTCACTGCTCATGTTAAAGTAATGTATGTGCACAACATAATAGAACATTAATTTTTAACGAATTTATTTATAATGCAGTCAATAAATCGTTATTAAAGGAAATGAATCATTACTAAATTTATAGCGGCTAATTTATGATCAGACATTGATAAATAATAAGTCAAATATTTAATTACAAAATTGTTCTATGTCAATCAGCTGTACAGTCACCATTTGACCATTTTAGTTTGTCAAAACGTCTTATGTCAATAACTATTTTGTAAGATCAAAATGATTTTGGTGTGAAGACTGTTTTTATTTTAATGATTCAATTGTAAATTAATTTTTAATTATCTTTATATTATTTTAAACTTTTGCAATGTGCAATTCAAATAGAGGAACCTAGCTGATTTTAAACTTTCATGGTCACTAACATTATAGTAATACTAAAACCTATCTGATTTTATAATATAAGTTTTTAATAATATAATCTAAAATATTATTTATTTAATATTGTAATCTTAAAATATGACTTTCAAACTTATCAACCAAATAAATCGGATGGTATAATGCAAAATGGAACCAATCAAACTAGTACAGACAACATTTTCACTTACTCATTAATTTTAAACTTAATATTAATTTAATGTATACTTAAACGATTTTAATAAATGTCAGTTGGATCCAGTTTGTATGACTATTGAAATTAAGGAAAACATTCTAGGTATCCTTTGCAACAGTCACAATATAACTTGTACTAACCACCCACCTCACCTTAGAATAGACTGACAATTAATTTATTAATATAATTATTTAATTAAGAAGTTGCATACCATATCAGCGGTTAATAAGTGGCCCGTAGCCACCGTCATACAAAAGCTGTAAATACAAGACGAAACATCGACCAAGTTACATATAGCGACAATAATTGTAGTATTTAAACGCAAACTAAAAACATTTTAATTTGATCGGTTTATAGTCAACTACTTTCTCAATATACCGAATAAAACGAAGTTGTTCGTTTTTGGTGAATTTTGTAATAGGAACGCCTTCTCAATATACCGTATAAAACGAAGTTGTTTCTTTTTTTGGTGAATTTTGTGATAGGAACGCTTTCTCAATATACCGTATATAACGAAGTTGTTCTTTTTTGGTGAATTTTGTGATAGGAACGTTTTCTCAATATACCGAATAAAACGAAGTTGTTCTTTTTTTGGTGAATTTTGGGATAGGAACGCTTTCTCAATATACCGTTTATAACGAAGTTGTTCTTTTTTGGTGAATTTTGTGATAGGAACGCTTTCTCCATATACTGTATATAACGAAGTTGTTCTTTTTTGTTCAATTTTGTGGCATAGGAACGTGGATTAAAGACGATTGGTTAAATGTTTTAAATTAAGTGGAGGTTTATATAAAATCACAGCTTATCGTTACGGCCACTGTTACTGTTACCATGTTGAAAAAGAGATTTGTAAATTGAAATGAATAAATGCAAATTGTTGAATTGCGTTACCTATTTGATTTAAAAGATTACCAAAATGCAATATCCTAGGTTCGATTCCCGGACTAGCCAATTAGCCAATGTGGAGAACTTCTATATTTCAGTGTTTCTTATGAATGGTTTTCAATTTCCTTATAAGTAAAATAATAATAATAGGAAAAGCCATAGAATAGGCTATTAGACAGTATGAAAATTAAATTTCTATAAATTTTGGCATGTGTAGTTAAACATGAATATTGTGAGCGATTTCATTATTCTGGCTAAACAAAAATGTGATGATAATACTTAAAATCATTACCTATAAAAGGATTTTTTTGATCCATTGTTACGTAACCGAAAGCGCCTAGGATTGGCGGAGCCTAAAATGACGTCACCTGCTTGTAAACATCCTGACGAAGTGACATGACTTTGTACTGTCTGTTATTTTCATGAGAGCCGTGTGACGTGTCCTGAATTTTTGAAGTGAAACTTCTTTACGCACGCTTGACTTGGGGGGTAAGCTGGCAAATGCGTTACGCGTTACGAATAGCGTGTTCGGGCGAGACGAACGGGAGTTGAGCGGGGGATATAAGCAAGAGAAAGCAGTACGCGCGCACATATTCTTTCTCTCTTTCTCTTATAGCTAGTAAATGAAATATAAAAATTATGTATATGTACATACATGCATATATATTGTATATGTATATGTGTACAGATGGAGCTAAAGAAGTTTCACTTCAGTCATGTGGTCATAAGCACACTGGTTTTTTGACTGTTATACATAACAGAATTATAAATTACACTTTTATGAAGTCGCTATACATAAATAAATAACTAAAGGACGTTTTCAAAATCTATTATCGAAATTGAGCAGCCTTCTTTGATTTAGGTAAAACTCACAAATTACATAAGTATCTTATGACTTAACAATTACCCATTAGTTCTACTAAATCATACTAAATAGCAGTACGTAATAACACTCTAATGTGACCCTTAATTGTATGAACAAGGGGGCTGCTCAAATAATTTGAGGGGTTGATCGGTTAAAACGTTCGCGTGACAAATTCGTTA